TAATGTACAAAACTGAGGGGAGATGGTATGCTAGTTTTCACCATAAAGGGAACTTGGGAGAAGGATTAATTAGTTTTGATAAAAAAGTAGTGGAGACTTTACGGAAGTCTTTGTAGGAGATGTCAGGGGCAGGGAATTATGATAAGAGAAGTATCCTGTAATTGCATGGCCCACACTGAGAGCTTTGCTCTAGTTTCCATTTTCCATTCATCCTCATCTACATTTAACTAAGGAAGTGGATTCTAGGATCTTGTATAAAAAGCACTGAGAGGAAACTTCCCTTAGCCCATTTCTGAAGGCAGCCTTAATCTCAGATATGTTTTGGTCACTACGGATTTATTAAGCACTTGACTCTGTGCTGGAGTAGAAAGTGGAGTTACCAGAGAAAACTTCTTCCCTCCCTTTTTCTTTTAACTATTATGTTATGAACTATGAGACGCAGAAGGAGTGCATATTGTGATGTATCACAATGAGTGCCTATGAACTCACAACCCAACTAAAGGAATCTGCTCTTTTTTTTTTTATTTTTTATTTTATTTATTTTTTTTAAATTATTTATTTATTTATTTATTTATGATAGTCACAGAGAGAGAGAGAGAGGCGCAGAGACATAGGCAGAGGGAGAAGCAGGCTCCATGCACGGGAGCCCGACGTGGGATTCGATCCCGGGTCTCCAGGATTGCGCCCTGGGCCAAAGGCAGGTGCCAAACCGCTGCGCCACCCAGGGATCCCAAGGAATCTGCTCTTAATAACACCCCTGAAGTTCCCCTATGTCTTTCACCAATCGCATCTTTCTCCTTTTATCTTGTTCCTCTATGTATAGACCCTCAGACAGTATTATTAGTTTTGCTTATTTTTTAATTTCGATAAATTATAAGAATATATTTGTCCCTTAAAATAGTTTTTTCCCTCTAATATTATGTTTCTGAAGACTGACCAACCATATCAAGTTACTCAGCCTAGAGTACATTCATTAATGTTCAATTATATATTATTCTATTATAGAGATATACTATTATTTACTGATTAATCAGCCTCAGATGGAGATTTGTATTATCTTCAGCTTTTTGCCATTAATAAACCATACAGCACTTTTTATATCTTTGTACTTGCCTCTGGGGTACATGGTCATGAGTGGAACTGTTGGTTATAGGATTTGCACGTCTTCATCTTTTTTTTTTTAATTTTTATTTATTTATGATAGTCACACACAGAGAGAGAGAGAGAGGCAGAGACACAGGCAGAGGGAGATGCAGGCTCCATGCACCGGGAGCCTGACGTGGGATTCGATCCTGGGTCTCCAGGATCACGCCCTGGGCCAAAGGCAGGCGCCAAACCGCTGCGCCACTCAGGGATCCCCGTCTTCATCTTTATTAGATAATGCTAAATTGATTTCCAAAGTGATTTTAACAATTTTCACTCCCACCAATATTGCATGTAAATAACCACTATTCCACATTATATCTCCAATACTTGACGTTATCAGACTTTCAGATTATTGCTGATTTGGTTGATATACAATGGTAACTCACATTGGTTTTAATTTGCATTTCCCTAATGACTGACTTAAATGTTCTTTCATAGGTCAATTAGCCATGTGTGTTTCCCCTTCCATGAAATAATATCTGTTCTTGTGCCCATTTTTCTATTGAATTTCTTTTTCTTAGGAATTCTTTGTAGTTTCTGGATAGTAACCCTTTGTTTCATGTCTGGCAAATAGCTTTTCCCAGCTTGAATCTATTTATGAATCTTTTGATTAACTACATTTCTTAATTTTAGTGAGGTCTAAATGATCCGTCCTTTTATTTATAGTTTTAATGTTTTTTACTTTGTTCAAGAAATCCTTTGTAACCTAAAAGCCATAAAAATTTTTTTAGTAGATCTTAAAGTTTTGTCTACATGAGGTAGGGATGAGATGTTACCAATTATCTCAGCATCTACTCCTTCCACAGTGATCTGCAGTATCATCTATGTCATATATTAAGTAACAATAAATTAATGGTTTTGTTTTAGGATTCTTAACGGTGGTCCATTTGTATATTTGTCTTTTTTTTATATTTGTCTTTTTTTATACAAATAATACACTCCTTAATGACCACAGCTTTATGTAAGGTTTTATCTGGTAAAGAAAATTATCCTTATTCTTCAAAAATGTCTCAAGTATTTTAGCATTTGTTTTTCTGAGTAAATTTTATAATCAGCTTGTCAAAGTCAATAGAAAAATTTGGTGGGATTTAGATTAGAAATCCATTAAGTCTGTGGATCAATTTAAGGAGAGTTTATATGTTTATGGTATATTTCCCTATTTTGGATATGGTCTAACTTTCCATTTCTTTAGATCTCCTTAAATGTTTTTCAGTAAAATTTTATGATTTTCTTCATTAAGGTATTCTACATTTTAAAAAAAGATATTCTTAGGTACTTTACATTTTTTGTGACTATTTTATATGATTTATTCAAAATACATCATCTAACTTTTTGTGGCTATTGCACAGAAATAAAACACATTTTTTGGGTATATTAACATTATAGCTAGCAAAATTTGTTAAGCTTTTGAATGCTAATTATATGCCTGTTTTGGGTTTCCCATTTCCTATACTAATATCATCTATGATTGATGATGGTTTTGCTTCTTACATTCCATTTTTTATAAATTTCATCCATGTTTCTAATATAACTGTACTGACTAAAGTCCTCAGTACAAAACTGAATGGAAGTGGTGATAGTAGATATCTTTCTCTTGTTTATGATTTAGAATTACTTGTAATGTTTCACTATTTGGGGTAATTTTTTCTTTTTTTTAATTTTTTTTAAAAATTTATTTATGATAGTCACACACACACACACACACACAGAGATTGGCAGAGACACAGGCAGAGAGAGAAGCAGGCTCCATGCACCGGTAGCCCGACGTGGGATTCGATCCCGGGTCTCCAGGATCGCGCCCTGGGCCAAAGGCAGGCGCCAAACCGCTGCGCCACCCAGGGATCCCTGGGGTAATTTTTTCATAGCCTTTACTCAGTGAAGGAAGTTTCTATTCCTAGTTTGCTAAGGATCTTTTTTTTTAAATTATGCTTTTATTACATCCTATTTCTGCATCCATTGAGATAGGATCACAAGACTTTTCTATTTTGTTCTGTGAATGTGGCAAATAATATTACAATTATAAATTATATTTTAAAGTTCAACTGTTCTCATAATTCCTAGGATATACCTAACTTATTGGACGTTAAGCTATATGGTTGCCATTTTGTTTGCTCATCACCCTGTTGCATCACTGATATTCCTTCTTGGTTTATTTTCTTTTAGAATTTCTTTTATTGGGATCTACGGGTATTGAGCCTTCTCTGTTTTTATTTCTAATGTCTTTATTTTTTTCGTAGAAATGTAAATTATAGAACATTCTTCTCACTTTCTTCCACATCATTAAAATCATCAGTATGATAGCACTGGACTCAAGATCCAGCCTTGACATTAAATTATTTTGTGATCTTGAATAAATCCCTTCATGTCTTTGGGACTTGGTATTCCCTCACAAGATCAGAGTAAAAGCGCTCTAAGGGGCCTTCGTGCTCTCACAGTCTGTGAATAGGACAAATGAATGTATGTGTTGCTAGTGTTAGAATACAGAGAGCAGAAGGGGGCCACAGAACAGAAAATGAGGAATAGGAGAAAAGGAAAGAGAAGACAAGATCATATGTTATATGCCCTTCATTATTATTGACAATTTTTTTTGGAAGAAATTATAAATACCCTGAATCCAAGTGATTTGGCTATTATTCACTTATTCAAAAAACTTTCTTATGTCCGGCATCTTTAAAAATGCTGGCTTCTTGGGGTGCCTGGGTTGCTCAGTTGGTAGAGCATCTGACTCTTGGTTTTGGCTCAGGCCATGATTTCAGGGTTGTGAGGCCAAGCCCTGAGTCAGGCTCTGCACTCAGTGGGGAGTCTCCTTGAGATTCTCTCTCTCTCTCTCTCTCTGCCCTTCCCCTCCTGCAACCCTCCCCCAACTCTCTCTATCTCAGATAAATACTTTTTTTTTTTTTTTTAAATAGTGGCCTTTTGTGTGCAGGCTTCTTGCATCTGTGTTCTCAGATTCCCCCAGCATTAGTAGGCTGACACGCGATGCTGGAGAGAAGAAACCCAAGGTCTAAGTGGGAAGGAGAGATACTCTTTTCTGAATTTTATGGAAGACTTTCACGTAGTCTCTCTCTCTCCTAGTCACACTAAAGGTTTAGTGGATAAAGCAGTGGACTGGGTTCTCTTATAGACCTGTTGCTTAATAAAAGAAAAAAAAAGCTTTTAGTCAATGGTCATGTTGGGTTATTAACTTTATGTCTTTCATTCTCATCTTTAAAATGTAGGTGAAAATAATTCCGGATCACAGAGTTGTTAAAAATGATACAATGAACAGTGAAAGTTTTGAAAATGCTAAATTACTCTCTCAAGTGCCTTCCTTAGTCTTTCTTTCCTTTCCCCATATGTATGTATATCTATCACCTCTAGTAGACTATAGAAGTCTTGAAAGCAGGAATTGTCTTATATATACCCATATCCTTCAAGATGCCTAGTACAAAGCAGATTCTTGGTGTTTGAGAAGAAAACACAGTACATATGAGAAGAAGTGAGGAAAAGTCAGCCAGCCAGGGTTGGTGCTAAGTGGAGACCTCCCACCCCCATACGTAGGGACCCATTTGCTTGTATCCAGCTTTAAAGGCAAAAAAACCTTTACTTGTAAGGTTAAGACAAGGAGTGGTCAAGTAATTTTAGAACATGTCCAACCTTAAGATCTTCTGTGCTGTTAGTGGAGGAGAGTGGGTGCCTTCATACTCTTGTTGGCATCATTTTTGCTCTGAGAGGCATTCCCTTCTCAGAAGACCATCTGGAAAGCAAATGATATAAAAAATGAATCACAGTAAAAGGGGTCAGAAGAAAGGAAACCAGGATTATCCAACTCAAAAAGAATTCCACACAAAGACAAGTATATGTAATAAGAAGTTTATTGGATTTCTAAATATAATAAAGGAGATGCAGTTCTTTTACAGAAAAAAAGAATATCATTTTCATATTCATTCTTAAAGAGCATTAGAAAAACATAATTGAGAAAAACAGAAGGTAAATAGAAATGTTTTCATATAATTGGATAATACGTAAATACAAAGAAAATACCCAAATCACTTGCTTATAACAGGTTTTATGCTCTTATTTTCATAAGGAATCATGTGGGTTATTTTGGATGTCAGTGATGGTTCATGATGTAGTGGAGAAATGTGATTTGTTAAGAATAAAATAAGAAAGAGAAACCTATATTTTAGGAATATCATGGCTCTGTCAGTAGCACACATGTGAAAAAAGGCATATTCCCTCTAGGTTTTCATGTGGCTTTCCCTAAGTCAAGGAATGTTCTACTGACTAGCAGCTGATCGTGGTGGGGCTATGCTCTACCTCATGAAGTTCTTGTTCCTAGTAGAGAGAAAATCTGGCCTCTGTCTCCCCCTTCTCTTTTCTTTGTCCACTTGTAAGTACCACTTAACATTTACACAAAACTATCTCTCATAGTCATGGTCATCAGGTTGAAACCTGGACAGAGAGCTCTATTGTCTCTTTCCTTGCATCTGTCTTGTTCCCAAGGAGAAAAACCCCGTATCCTAATACTTCTTCTGATACCACACAGAGATTCTTCAACCCTTATCTAGCACTAACATCTGATTCTCTAAAAAATAGAAAATGACTAGTGTTGAAATTGGATAAGGTAAAAACAGAAAACGAACGTCAACAGGAAGAGTAGACATTTTTAGTGAAGAGTATCACTCTTTCTCCAAGGAGCCAACTGGTCTCATAAAATGACAGCTAAAGCAGGGTGGTCCACACTCAAGATTATGCAACAGTAATCTGTTCCAGCCTCATCCCTGGTGTATGTAGGGGGGCTCCTTATATGGAAGGCAGAATGGTGGCTGACTGCAGTGCCATGGAAACCGTCTCCTATAGCTCGTCCCTCCTTACTTCCTTTTGGTGAAAGTGGGTGGGGCAGGAGATAACTTTGTGACCAAGACGACGTCAAGAGCTTCCTTGGAGAGAGGCTAACTGGAGGCATCTCTCTTTCCCAAAGGAGAGGCGTATTCAAATGAACATGGAGCCAAATGACTTAGAAGGAAAGAGAGCGACTTGGCAAGTGTAATTTGCCAGCTGGTTGAGTCAGACGACACATTGAGAAAGATCTTTTTTGGAAGCACGTCCTCCCTTCAACCCTTTTCCTAAAATCATGCACGGTCTACCTCGTCCTATTTCCCTGGACCCTCTCCTACTGCCACACCTGGATAAGAGTCCTTCGGTCTAGGCTGTGCTGCTGCTCCATCAGCAGGATCTGTGCTTGCAGTGCCCATGGCAGAACTATGGAAACAAAAGCCACTCGATAACATATGCTACTATTTTTAGGAGTCAAAGTAAAGATGCTCTAAGGATCTGGCAAGGACATTTGGCCCCCTGAGCCTCCAATCCTCACAGCCAAGACTTTTCTTCCCTTTTCACTGATGTTAGCCTGTGAGATAAAAGGAGGAAAAAAATGTGCTGACATTCTAAACCCACCAATGCTTAGTTTATAAAACACACATATGACGCATATCCTAATACAGATCCTGGGCTCTATTAATTCTCTTAAACAATGTCGGTTTTTTTTTTTTGACTAAATATTCCAATTCCATGCAGCATATACTCCCTGGTAGCAGAGTACAGGAAGCCTCAGCAGTATGCCACCATCCAGTCGGATATAAATATAAAGTGGCTGTATCAGCAAGGAATGCTCAGGGAATGTGTTTGCAGCCTGTTCCACGGTGCCACTCGAGAGGGGATATTGGAAATGAGTGACTTTCTTCCATTTGGCAAGCGTCCCTTATCTTAGCACCTACTCTTCGAGATGGTATGTTTTTGAAGGCTGCACAGTATGACTCTGGGTACCGTGTGTACATACATATGTAGGAATAACGTTTATGTTTCTCAGAATAGGCACTTTTTGAAGGCAGTAAGTCTAAAAGTAAAGTTAATAGAGCCTATATTTAGTGCTCATCTTCTCACTTTGCTGATGTGTATGCTGAACAGAAGATCACAGATTTGAGTCAGTCTCGCAAAGAGGCCGGAGTCGGCAAATGGCTATATTCAGAGCTGGGGAAGTCTTGCCAACTCAACTGTAGCTGTTAAAAAGGCAGACTTGGAGAAGGTGGCATCGTATTTCTCAAAGGTGACGGCACAGAAGGAGAAAAGCCGGTGACAAAGCCATGAAATAAAAGCTCGTGTGTACAGCTCCGAAAAATTACTATCCTCGGGCTCTGCATCTCCATGTCACGTCTCCTTCATGGCACAGATTTGCCACTCAGAAAGTTCTTTCCCTTCTTTTTTTTTTTGGGTGCGTCTCACAATTGCACATATTCCCAGTAGAGAGAGAGAGAGAGAGAGAGAGAGAGAGCCCCAAATCTGCTAAACTAATGATAAACGTGGAGTTTAAAAGACAAAACAAAAACAAAGTGGTTCCCTGCACAGATAACCTGGCAGAAATTACCACGGCGTCCAGCTGTGAAAATTCTGCATCTAAGTTTAAATTTTCACTTAAGGCACATTCAATCACTGGATAATTTTAGTCATGCCAAAGGATCAGACAATCAAGTGGCATCTTTAGTTCTGTTTGCTATTTCATGTTTCCTGAAAAAGAACAAGGGGAGAATTCAGACTTGGAGGGGCGGGGAGATTCTAACTTTGTTTAATAAGGAAATAATTCTTGGATAATTTGCTTATCAGCTTTCCCAAGAGAATGGATGGGGAGTAAAAGGGAGAAAGTCATTGAAACGTGATTTCGCAACTACTTTGCTACATGTACTGGTGACAGGATTTAACTTCCAGGGTTTTAAGTCTCTTTCCTCAAAGGATGCATCTCAATTCTGACATTTCAGCGCAGTGAGAAGGCTGGTAGGGTGCATACCAGCTTCAACCTAATGAGAGAGGTCTAAGGCACTTTGGCTCTTTCTGGCAATTTCTCCCTGATACACTGATGTGCTTGGCATTCATCTAAAAAATCGGCAGAAGGGTTAGTAAAATGCAAACACTGCCTAAATATCAACTTGCCTTTTACTATTTGAAATTAAAATCAGGCCATTTCTATTGTTGGCATTTAACTGCTAAGAATCCCGTTTCCTCTGAAGTCTGTGTTTGAAGGAATGAAACACGTTGGCAGATACATCATAACCCGGCTATGCTCTTCTCCTACTTCTGGCTTATGGTTCCTAAGTGATCATCAGCTGTCACCCACAGAGAAAAAGAGATGAGAAGGTATTGGATTTTTTCCCCCTTTAGATTTAAGTCTCCCAAGAAAGAAAAGAAAGGAGACATGTATCCAAGAAAAACTAGCTCTCCCCTTTTTGCATGTTCTAAAGCAGTTCAGAAATGGCATTAAATAATTTTGTGAGGAAAGACATCCAGACTTAATATTTACTCCCTTGTGATAGAGTAAATGAAGTTAGGAGAGCAAGTGTGATACTCTCCTCTTGGCAGGGAGCAAGCAGGCATCTTCCAAGGTGATAACACGATGCATCAATAACAACAGCCCAGGAAGAGTCTTTACCCTTTTCCCCACAGATAGAGATGTAAAGAGAGAATCAAGCAGGAGTGATAAATACTTTCGTTTCCACCCCCACCTCAAATTGCTTTGGCATATTTTAAGAGATAAATGGATCCATACAAAATTTAAAGAGCTTTTTCTTTTCCTTTTTGGCAGCCACAAAAATGGGTCAGGTCTAGGAATTATTAATTTCCCGGCCTGAAAAACCCAAGTGTTTTAAAATAAGATTTCTTTTTTTGAAGGATCAGCTTTCTTGGAAGATGCTTGTATGTGCATATGTGTGAGAGGGTGTGCACGCACGTGCACGGGTGTGTTTTAAAGACAACGCAATTGTGTTTTCCCTACATATGGAGGACTGTATCATGCAGAATGGAGGAAGGAAAAGTTTTATTCATAATTTTCCTTACATTATGTAAAGGGAGATCAGGGTTTGTGACTCCCTTTTTTTTTTTTTTAAAGGGCTGCTTCTTCATCTTCACTGCCTCCCTGCCCTTTTGTTCCTGCTGAGGAGATGTCACAGGTTCCACTCATGGATGTCCCTACCCAGGTGTACTCACCTAGATAATTCTCGAGAGTTCTCAAAATTCTTCTCTCTCTACTCACCCGCTCTTGGGTGGAGATACTCCATCTATCCTACAAGAATTGCTCTCCACTGCGTCAGCCAGAGCATTGATCAAGCCTCACTGGAAGACAAGGCTCCTTTTTCCAAGCTCTGACTGTTGCCATTTCTGCCAAGGGTACTACCCTGCTGGCCCCGCTGGCACGTCCTTTGTATTCCAGGTGTGAAGTGTGGAAAGGAGTGAGAGGCATTTGTGACTTAACTTGGCCCTCATTAATCCCAGGGAATAAGCAGAGGGAGAGAGTGGCTTGATGGATGGTAGCTTCTAGGGAGGGAAAAGCTTAGAAAGCTTATTAGATGAGATCATTTTTTTTTTAATTTTTTTTTTTTTATTTACAATAGTCATACAGAGAGAGAGGGAGAGGCAGAGACACAGGCAGAGGGAGAAGCAGGCTCCATGCACCGGGAGCCCGACGTGGGACTCGATCCCGGGTCTCCAGGATCACGCCCTGGGCCAAAGGCAGGCGCCAAACCACTGCGCCACCCAGGGATCCCCTAGATGAGATCATTTTAAAGGTTTCCTGCAGGAGGTTTAACTCAGATGAAGAGAGAACATCTTTCAATCAGTTCACCGACTTTAACTTGAAGCCAAACAACTATAATGAGAAATGGGAGGAAATAAAAACCTAAGAGCACCCATCAAAAGGCACATCTTCCTGAGAGATGCAGCTCAAGGGAAGGAATGGCGGGTTGTTGGTCTGCCATGTAGGGTAGCTTCTAGAATATACACAGTGGCTTACAAGCGAGCATCCTGGGGACAACACAGTACCAAACTCCCTGGAGTAAGCACACACAGATCACAAAACCACGATGGCCTGGGAAGCCCCGTCTGCCAAAGGGCAAACACCAAATAGGGAGGCTGCATTCGGTCCTGCTGCCTTTGCTCCCAGACATTTCAAGGTCATGGGTTGGTAAGGTGGTTGGGAAATGCCTGGTGCAGTGACATACTCTGTGGGGCCTCAATAAATGTGAACTGAGAAGGAGAATAATAGGCATTGCTTACCTCCAGCACTTTCCATCTCTGCGGGGCATAAATCGTAACCCCCGGGAGAGAGACTGTCTTAAGGACCGAGTCGCCTCTGCCCTCTGCCGCATTCGAAATGATACAATCTTGGTTGATATGCTGAACCTCACAGTTCCAGAGTTTTCCCCTTAATGTAAAGTAAACCAACCGTCTCCGGGGAAATTTGCTGCAGTGTGCTTCGGTGGCACAGCTGTTTGTTCTTGGCGGTGGCCTTCCCCCACTGACATCATCACAGTGCTGATGTCGGATCAGATGATAGAATGCCTAGTAGTTTCCCACAGGATGACACAGACCCTGCACGCAGGATGGCAAGGCAGCACCGGGCACACGTGGCTTTGCCACCTGAGATCTCTAATGGTCTATGAGAACTGCCCTGGCTGCCTTTGAGCAGGGCACACGAGTGTGTGTGAAGCATATACTGTGCTCTGAGGTAGTCTGTGCCCTGAGAGTGGCCACTGGAGAGAGCACTGGACTTGCACGACCTGGCTGTGTCCCCAGATCTGCCACTTACCAGCTGTATCGCTTTTGGCAAGTCACTTAACGATTCCGAGCCTCGGCTCTCTCTTCTAGGATAGGGCTATTAATAACCTTCCTCCCAGGGCTGTTTCATGTGTGAAAGCAGTTTGTAAGCTCTCTTAGGAATTATTATTTTAGAGCTCAGAAAGCCACCCCCAGGTCCTGCCCGGGAGACTGATGACAGATTCTGCCGACAGGGCTCTCTAATTCAAAGCTGGGGAGGGGCACTACTGGCGGTGCATGGGAACCCCGGGTGCTGATAAGAGAATCTGTACACTTTTGCCTAAGACCACAACATAATGTCACCCCTTCCCCCAGGGACGAATTTCCTTTGGCAAACAACAACTGGACAGAAGTAAAGACTTTCGACAGAACTACTCTCTTTTGCTTTTGACTTCTTCCTTTTTAGAAGTGGAGATCAGGGGCAGGCACGTTTCAACATTTCAAGGTCATTAGCAGCAGGCCAGGTAACTGGAGTGGACTGTTCATGGGTTGGTCACTGGGGGAGGCCAAAAAGCTACGTACCAACTGTCGGAACACTTTGTCTTTTGAGTTAGAAAATAACAACAACAACAACAACAAAATACTCGTAAACTCCAAAACCTGACCCTCAGAAAATCCTTCAGACCATTTTTAAGGATTTTTTAAAAGGTTTTTGTCATCTTTAGCTAATAATGAAGGCTTCCCTTTTACAGTAATGTGTTCCCAAGATGAAAACAAGTATATGTGGAAGGAAAATGAAGGGAAGAAGAACATTTTACTGTGTACTAAAGATTAGTTTTGTGTGGCACCTGGGAGAAGAAATCATGAGCTTGTTGATGCAGGTGATGCTTAAGCAGAGTCTGGATTGTCACTTAGCAGTGAATTGGCAAGGGAATTTTAACACCAAGTGGAATAGATGATGGCTGGGTCCTTTCCAACCGTTGACCTAAAGTCATAGGAAAATAAGGATGACTTGCTTCTTCTCTTGCAGGGTTCAAAAGACACATGTGTTTGCTCCGAGAGTAATCTGTTATAAAGCTTCCTGTTCATAATGTATGTGCTGGTTTATATTTTGGCAGTCATCCTATCTTACAATTATAAAGAGGCAAGATAGAAAATAGCAATTGAATTAGATTTCCTCTATATCTTTTACCTTCCCATTGACCCTGAATATCTGGAAAGTTTTTCTCCTGTTAAGGAAATTCCAGAATTCATAATACTTAAAGTAGAGGGTCTTTTGTAAGGATAGCTTGTGCTTTTCTGTTGTTTCTAGTGCCTTAAATAGTCTTCCTTCAGCGTTTCCACATTAACTCAATGAGTCAGTTCAATATTTCTTACCAAGTTTCCCTCCTCAACGAAGCCCTACTGATGCCACTAGAAAGCAGTACCCTTCTTAATGCTATTGTCCTGAAACATATTGAACCTGTTTGATCTTATTGCAACTGGACCGAATCAAAGTTACTTAGGGGCTGATTCTATTATAGTAATTATTAAATTAATATGAGAAAGGGATGTTGGACTGCCATGTAGGGTAGCTTCTAGGATATACGCAGAGGTTTACATGTTAGAAAGGTTAAAAAGACAAAATAAAGAGAAATACGGACTCCTAAGAATAGTTCCTAATTGATCATGTAGGGAAGCTGTTTGCCTGGTCTAAAGTGCAACATCTCTAGGTACAAACATCGGAGAACAAAAGAATGGAAGTGAATCTCAAAATCAATTAGCAAGTACGTATTTATGTTAAACCTAGAAAGTAGCCAGAACTCTTTTTCCGCATTCAGTATGGGAACATGGGCAAAAAAAAATGTGTTATTTCTGAGAAGACAGAGACAAAAGGAAGAGTAGGTTTAAAGAGACTTTATAAACATTAACCAAGAAGTGGGAATCTCATGGATGGCATACAAGTTACCTTGATTCTTGTTTTCAGAATGACTTTAATTTTGGCTACATCGAAAAATAGGACACAAAGTAAAAGGTCTGTTTTGTACACATGGAAGATCTAGCCTCATCTGCCTTCCACTCTCGCCTTCCACTCTCCTGAGTCTGAGTCCTTGGTGGAAATTTCCACATTGGCTATCAGTTTCTTTTGGGTGACTTCAAGTCCATTTACTTTTCAACTCCAGAACAAAGTTTTTCCACCTAGCCTGACCCAAGGTGATTATTAAGCCTCATCAAGTAGAGTGAAATAGAAACTATTTATACAACTGTTCAAAGGAGAAGCAGTAGGGTGATTGGACTTGACATCATGTCAATAAATGGGAGAGAGTTGAAAGAGTTAGTGATATCTGATCTTGAAGTAAAGATTTAGACATTAGAATCATTTTTGCAAAGCCCTGCAGAAAAAATTATATGCAGCAGGAGAAAGAACTTTTGTAGAAAAGAGTTGCCATAATAGTAGAATGGACTGCTGGGAACAGTACTACATACTGGCCAGGTCTAGGAAATGAGATGGTGACTTGGTAGCAAAATAACAGAAGAGATTCAGATTCTTAAAAGGCCCATGATTCTATATTTGTCTGGCAACACCACCAAAGGATGTCTGGGGTCAGCTATAACCCTCAATGCTAGTGTAGAACACAAGACGATATAGCGACATCTGTCTTATTCTTGGTAAATCATTCTACTTCTGGTGTTTAGAAGTGAACTAGAAGCTACGGTCAGTGACAGGTTGACTGAATCCATTATATGGGTTGTTTAATAAGGCTGCCATTTGGGTCAGTTAAATGTCTATCAGAGTTAAATGAATAAGGTTTTCTCTTGCCCCTAAGTTAATGAGTAGCTTGGAAAAATTTAAAAAGGTGTATTGTAAGGAAAGATTAATGCCAGTATCTTAAATTATTACAAAAGAATTAGCTATAGGTTTTCTCCTCTCTCTAGTATGTATAACTTTTCATTTGCAGAATATTAATTTTTGTTTATAACAAAGGCTTGGAAATAGAGATATGTATTAGTGATGTATTAGTGTGGTTAGACTGTGGATAAATTAAGTAACAATCAGAAATAAAGACCAAAGATTTTAGTAATTTTTTTATGTGATTTTAAGAGGAAATGTTCATGAATTTAACAAAAATGCATCTTCCATACCACTTTCCACAAAATAAGCCACACATGCCTGTTGGATAACTAAATAGTGTCTATAACTTTTTGTACAAGGGGAAGAAAAGTAAAATAGAGAAAGGAGTAAGTGTCCTTTTAAAGGAAGATAGGCCATTTTATATTTCTTTCTTTTAAAGTTAGTAAGATAAAGTTAATTTTCTGTGTTTGCAACTAAAAAAGAGAAAACTAGTCTAAATAAGTTATAATTTGGATGTTTAGGGATGGCATTACAGATTAGTGGATGATTGGGTTTCAACAAGAGAACCACAGATCTAAAAGCTTCTACTTACTGTCATCATCAGGCAAGTACTGGAAAGGGATAAAACCTTTCATGAGTGAAAGCAGAAACCTCTAACCTTCAGAGATGCTTAGGGTGCAGTGCGGTGTGCCCAAGAATATGTATCACCATCTTTCAGGCTGAGCATGAGCTATGCCCCTCTCTTGGAGGGGATGAAAAGACATGCATTATAAAGTTCTGGAGTAGCTCTGATCCATGTTGTGGGGCCTAGCAGCTGCTGTCATTTCACTTTCTTCTGACAAGGGAAAAAATATTGTTATCTACAGTGATTTTTCAATACATAGTAAGCTTGGAAGTATAAATATTTTACTTGTTCAAACAACTACAATTGCTGATCCCTAAAACCCCTCTGATGTTTTCAGAGTTATACTTTACAAAAACTCTCCAGCCATCATTTTAATTGTAGACTGTCCCTTTTCTTAAATCCCTCCTTTGTCTTCTGAATCCCACTCTACGTGGAGACAGGTTAAAAACAAACAAACAAACGAATGAACGAAAACCAAAACTGCACAAAACTCTGTTTCTGTTTCAAAACAACATAGCCACTGAGACTTGGCAAATTCACTTACGTATTGAATTAACTATATATTAAATATGTTTTGCTTTCCTCACACATGACCCTTTCAAAAAGGAAAGTCAATGTAAATCCTGTGAAAACTTAAAGAAAGTAGAAGTGAGAGCAGAGACGCAAAGTAGAAATATATCCCTAGAATTATAAGCTTTTTCCAAACAAATTAAAAAGAAGTGGACACAGAGGGCATATTTTTATCAGTACTAGCCAGAGTTCAAAAGAATCTCAAAGCTGAATTTTAACAAGATGCTTTACTGAGAGATCCAGACTTGTTCTTCTCAGGTTGCTTTTTTTGCTTTTTATAAACATACTACAGGCCTGTGAGCTGTGATCTAGGAAAAACTCTGGCACTGACCTACCCTTGTTAAATACTGTGATCCGACTATTAGGACTTAATATTATGCTCATAGGCAAAATGCTGATATGTGTAAAAATTCCAGAAGGATGATAGTTTTTCCTTGCCAGCAGGAAAATTACCAAGTTTCATTAGGAATAAAATAACATGCCACACCACTTAAAAATATGATTGTTTTGTCAGTCAAAATGCTTCGGACTTAAAAAAAAATTCTTAACCTAATCTTAGAAAGATCACTTTGCATATAGCTGAGAAAAGTAGGGCAGTCATAAGTGAATTTGCCAAGAACTCTATGATCTAAGTCCCTGATGAAAACTCATTAAAATAAAACTGAAAGACTCTATTATCTCATCTTGCTTTATGAATAAATACAATCTGGAAAATATGCCCTTTTTAAAAGGAAGGGTTTATGGATGCCATATATATTTGACGGTAGTCGTCTTCTTCCCTTAATGTGATCATAATTCCGTAAAGATCAGAATGCACTGATATAATTTACTCGTGAAAAATCCAAGCCACAATATCATTAATAGGTAGGATGAAAAGAAGGACAGAATGTAAGAAAGGAGGGCATGAATGAAAAGGGAAGGAAGGAGAAAAAGAGGCAAAGAGGAAAAGAGGAAGAATTCTCACCAAATCGCGGAGCTTTAATCAGATAATTTTTTTTAAGGTTTGAATAAGCTACCCCAAACAACAGCCTCTTGAGAAGAGTTTCATTCTAGCTATCTGTCACATAAATAACAACCTGAAATGTCCACGGTTGTACATACCATAATAATGACTCAAAACTCAATCCTGCTCCCAACTGGTTCTGTCCACTATTAAATTAAGACCACAGACAAGCCAAAAAGCTATGACAATTACTAAAAGTAAATATGTGCTGAATGGTGGTAAAGGCTCATACTGAAGTCTGCCTTCGTTATCTGACTAAGATCAGAGTAAGACCAAAGATAATCACTAAACATCTGAAACATCACCTTCTGGCATAAAAGTGTTCTCTTAATTCAGGAATCCATAAGGTACTTCTCCGAGAGACCAGGAGAAAAGAAACACTATTAGAATACATTAAGATAAAAGAGTTTACATTTGTCTGGATTTTGTTTTCTTTTTTGATGAGTGGATCTTGGAAATTTGGGAGAGGATTGCTAATGTTATGGACTCTCCACTGGAGTATTCGTAGTAGTGTAGAGATTCTTTACACATAAGGCACACATACATGTTGCTCTCTGATTGTCTCCCACGAAAGTGCACTGAGAGAGCGATCTCAAGAAAGGGACTTCAGGCACATTTTGCAGAGGTACATCTTTTTCAGCCTACTGGTTTCCTACAGATGGCTAAAGCAGGGTATGGAACATGCTGTCATATTTCATTCATAACACACATGTACTGCAGCTCTAGGCAACAGATGGACAATCACTTGTTTAAACTACAAATGTGAAATACTAAGGTAGAATGGCAATATTTCTAGAAATGTCTATGAGGAAAAGAAGCCTTTCCAAGCCAAGAGGAGTGGTGAGAGGCTGGGAGGTCACACCAGTGTTTCCCTGATCTCCCTAGCAGCTGCCATAATTTCCCCGACACCCTTCAAAACTTGATGATGGAGGGATCAGGGGGCAGCCGGCACAGATTTGACAAGAGAAGCCCAAACCATATCAAATAGAAATAACACTGTTATTCGTGGCTGGTTCACATTAATAGGGTTTTTACTAACTAGGAAAACTGTTGTTAAGTTGTGTTTTTTAGAGTCCTGTCTATATTCAATAAACCCTCTTCTAGAGCCCCATTGTAAAAGTGCTCTCTTTCTTCCTCTGAACCCAAATAAAAACACTTGTTTAAATGTAGTTAGAGTTTTATATACTTTAAACATCACCATAAACATCTTTGCAGAATCTTGTGTGGCGAGAAAACGGCGTTAGTGTTAACTCTGCTGCATTAGTCAGCATACAGCCAATGACATAATTTTGATTTGAGAAGTTGCCCCTACAAAAACAATTTATCAACGACAGGAAAAAGAACCCACATCTTTGAGCTGCAGAGATGTCCAGCATCTCAAAGCCTTGATGTCCTATGTTGGGACACATGACTTAGTTTTGAGTTTAATGCTATTTGGGTTAAATGCAATTTTGCTTGCAAATAAGACTCCACATTGAGTCAGTGTGAGCTAGGGATCCTGATAGTGAAGAAATTTGATTTTGAAACCATGTGCAGTGCCTATGACATAGTGGGTTTTTTTTCCTTTTCCATGTCTCTCATTACACAGAATTACCAAATATTTGTGTTCTTGACAATTTTTTAAAGCCTGTATATTTTAACAAACTTTCTTTTATAAACTCTGATTTTTCTATTATTTATGAATTTAAATAATAATCCAGACAATATACTCAAAGACAAAAGAATTATAATCGTTAAGGTCATATCATCTTTCTGTCTCTGTTATAGGCAAAATTTCACATAACTAAAAGAGTAAAGAGTGATTTGGCATTGTTTCAACCAAATGATTAATAGAAAAGATAAGAAAGCAATATAAATCATATACTTAAGAAATCCTGGATTAAAATATGTAGGATCCTTTCCTTATTATACCTTGTGAAAGAAAAGAAATCTAAATCTAGATATTTCTGCATATGTGTGTGTGCACATTCATTATTATAAAAGTATAATAAGTCTATATTAAAAAGAGATTTACTTTAAAACTCTTTGGTAAAGATACTCTGAGGTTATGTGATAAAAATGTACTATAAAGATTGAAAGCAAGCAATATTCTGGCAATGCCACAGGGGTGGGTATGTGACAGCATTTTCTTATAACTTTCTCTCTAAAATGTTTTGGCTTGTAAACATTTAGTTACATGAGGACTTAAATGTAACAAACAAGTAGAATGTCATTGCATTTTTATAGTATAAATATTTCATACATTTTCCTCTTTTAGCAAAATTCATAATAATATGACTGCTCTTCAAGAGATAAAATCCATCTCTCAATAAATTGGGCTTTGGGCCTAAACATGGTTTCCCCCGAAGTATTTCATAGAAAACAAACTGCTGAAGCCATTCAAGCAAATTACATTCTTTCTCCAATTGTCTAAAAGTCAGTGCTCTTTGAGGTAATCAGCATGTCTGATCTTGGATTTGGAGGACAGAAATTCAGAAATATAGTTTCACTATTGTATCCAAAAATTCACATGCTGCCCAAAATGAATCCCATTGTATTTCACATTAAGAAAAATAAAAGACCAATGATAAGAGTAGCAAAGTAAGGGGAAAAAAACAAAGTTTTCCAAGAAAACTTTGCAAAGCTGTAACTTTGGCAGTCACTTTGGGTGACCAAGGCAAAATAGCCACAAATTAACTTAGATGAACTAGTGACCATAGGCTTAAGAAGTTCTTATTGAAAAAAAAAAAAAAGAAAAAGAAAAGAAAACAGAACCATTTTTACAATCATTTCTGCTAAAGTAAAATAAATGTAATTGGCGTTCCTGAGGCATGGGGTATAAATCAAAACATGCACAAATAACTTTTCATTTCTGTTCTGAGCTTTAAAATAAAAAATTAAAGTAAATGTCAGAAGAGAAAATCGACTTTATCACTTTATAATCATGAAAAAGGTATTTGTGGACTCAGGGAAGGGCGCCTAAGGGAATGTAACTCTACTTGTTATATTTGATTTCTTAAACTGGGTGTTATGTATACAGGGATTCATTATATTATTATTTATATTTTGTGTCTATTTAAAATACTTCATAATTTAAAAGTATATACTTGTGGAAGATTTGAAGAAACGTTTAAGAAATCTCAATCCAAAATATTTGATTAGTTTACAAAATGGCAACCTGCCGTTACAAAGATGGGTGTCTCTCTTTAAAAGAAACCAGTCAGAACCCATAGAATGATTCTGTAGTTGGCAAGCAAGCGTTTCAATGCCCAGTAAGAGTTTGAATAAGATTCCAGGCAGAGACTCTGCATATTTTTAGCTCAGAAAAAAAGCAATTTTTTTTTTTCAGCGATTGTCTTTGAAAGTGTGGTGTAAATGTCACATCCATGATAGGACAACATCTCCCCACGATATACAATTTGAGTTGTGGCAGGATTATGGTAGTAATGAAATGGTTTCACATTTTTTTCAAGCTTTCCTGTCTTTTTAAAGTAAACTAAACAAAACTACACAATTTTATTTTGTGTGCTCTGATTTGCAGTTGTCAGGCAAAAAGGACCTGGGCCTGGGGGACAAAAAAAAAAAAAAAAAAAAAGAATAAGGACAGTTCTTTACAATCATCTTCCTCCAGAGAAAACTCAACTTTGGTAGTTGTGTTTGGATATTATTAAAAAAAAAAAAACATGGCAGTATTTCGGAGATGAAAAGTGGGACAGTATTGGAAATGTTACGTTCCAGAGAAAACAAAGTTTGTCTGTATTATTACATCTAGGTGGCATGGAAAAGGAAATTCTGAAGATGGTGTTGTGGGATAATAAGAGGATTTTCAAAATACCCCCCAAATGCTTTTTTTTTTTCCAGCGTGTCCCACTGGTAATTCCTTTAGAAAAAAAAAAAGTGAATTTTGGCTCTCTCTCACCAATATCTGTTTACAAATGAGCCCTGACCACTGGTCACTAGAGATTTTGAATTTCCAATCAAATTAGGTTGCAAATTAAATTGGGGCTTGTTTTAACCTATGTAATTTACAGCTTAAATTCTTTGTAGCCTAACACACGTGGCACACCTTCCCTCCACTAGCCCCCCAAGGGGCATGGCTGGTTTAGAGCAATAAGATGCACTTTTCAATACACAGAGAAAGAATGGCTATCCTTTCTGATCCCAGGCCACGGGGAGCTGAGAGGATGGGACCTTCAAGCCTCAAAGCACCTGTGAGTTGGCCGACTCACCCAGGAAAAACTGTGCGACAGCAAATACCACGCTAAAAAAAGCCATTCAACCAGATGAAAAGTGAGACAAACACAGGGATTAAAAGTTAAAGGAATGCAGAAGTGAATGGGATGGAGTATAATCCGTGCAAAAATGTGGAAGTCCTGGGGAACAAAGGCCCATCGAGGTCCTGCATGATTAAATGTGAAATGTGTATTTGGTGAGAACTTACAAGAAAAAAAAAATCTCATCATCTATGTGCTTCTAAAGAAAGGTTAATATTAGAGGAAGAACAGAGACTATCCCATGGCTTGATTGCCTTTCCTGTATTTTCCCATTTCTTTTCTTATCTTTTTCTTGTGTTTCCTTCTTCTCAGCGCCACCAACTAACCAGGTAAGCAGGCGACTGTATTTAAAGGTCGGTGCTGGCTTTGGCGGTGAGCACCCTGATGCGGGCAGAGTTGCAGGTCTTGCAGAGGATGTGTCCGTCCAGAGGGTAGCAGCCTTGGTTATCTCCTTCGGACAGGAGACCGCCACAATCCTGGAAAGACAGATGCAAGGGATGTGAGTGCAACTGGAAACAACGTGCGTGAGGACTGTGCTCCTTCGCTTGCCATTTGAGGCCTCCACAGATGGCCACTAACTCTCCTTTCCCCGTACCATCGGCCCCCTCTGGTCCTTCCCCAGGATACAACACCCAATAAGAGATTTGGGGACATAAATACACACGGGGTAAAATGACACCCCCCTCAGGTTGCTTCATAGGAAATGCGAGTCCAAAAAGAGAAGAACCTGAGGATCTGGGAGCCCCAGGTACTGGTTTTGTTTTCAGCTAAGCACTGAAAACAGCAAGAGCAAGAGAAAATAAGACAAGAAGAGATCCCTAACTGCTAAGTCCTCTTTGCCCTTTATCATGAGTCCAAGGATCTCTCAAAAGGAATGCACAGGTGCAGCGACAGAATTCCACGGCTGTTTCTGGGCAGTGGCAAAGCTGTAGAAGGCCTCCTTCCAAGCAGAAGGGCCGAAGGGCCCGCATTACGCTCTGCATCCTGGTTCCAGCTGTAGTGGGAAAATAAAACCCTAATGTGTGCTGGGAGTATTGCTTTGCTGCACTTTCTGAAGGAGACAGTGTGGTGTAGAGGAATGTGTTGGAAGGGGAGACAGCCCACCCCTACACCCATGGGGCATCCCTTAGCTCTCCCCCAGTGTCATTGAAAATAATTCCTCATGTCCTACCTCACCAAGGGTTGGGAGGATCAAAGAGGAAAATGGATGTGAAGATACTTCGAAACAAATTTGAGGAGCTACAGAGCTGTAAAGGATCAAAGGACCATATCGCTGTCCTTCGCACCTCTGCAGCTCCATTTTGGAAAGTGTCAAGTAACAGCCAGCCAAATTTTGGTCCTTAGCTTGGAGAAAATGGAAGTTTCTTTGCAAAGGAAAACACAGTACTTCATCTGGAAGTGCGTGCCCTTGCTAACTTTAGGAGAACTATTCTAAAAGGCCACCACCACTGCATGCCCTGCTTCTGCAGTCTGCAAAGAGAGCAACAGGTCACTGGGGCTCATGTCTGCATTTTACTAACAATGACATGGAAGCTCAGAAAGGGTATCGCCTACAATACCCCAGCAGTGCCAGAGGCTGCAGGAGCCAGGCTTCCCAGAAGTTGGCTTTGCACAAATGAGCAAGCAGATATTCTGCAGCTCTAGAGGCATTTGGACACTGAGCAATGGAATTAGATGAACTCTTCATCGCAATAAAGAAAGAAGGAAACTTCCTAAATGATATGGGTGTAACTATTTAATGAGCTGACATCTATGATCACCTGGGCACCATGAAGAGCCTGGAGTCAACCACAGTCTTGGAATCATCCACTCCTTGCATCTTAGAGCCAAAAGGGGCCACCTGGGGTGTCCAGGATACCCTCCCTGTTTGTTTAGGTGGGGAAGTGAGAAGCAGAGAGGGAAGTGATTTCTCCAGTGTCCTGCAGCATCTGAGGCAGGACTAGAATGATGGTCTGTCCTCTTCTAACCCAGAGTTCCTCCCATTCTAGAGCATTGTTTTTTTTTTTTTTTTTTTTTAAACTCATGGGACTTTAAAGCAAACTTACTTTTTACTTGCTCTCATTTAATCTGGAAGGAGAAAAAGGCGCCCTTTGTGCAACTCTGGGCGCCAAATCCCAAACCACGAAAAGTCAAAACCTATTGGTATGCATAGCAAGTGTGTGAGCAATGTCGGAAGCTTTTCTTGCTTAAGCCTCAGTTTCTCCATCTGTAAAATGACCTTGAAAGCATTTATCTGCTCTCTCACACTTATGATTCAGGTCAGTTCTAAGGCTGGAGGTGGTTGTTCCTCTGTCGTCATAAAATCTGGTGTAAAAGCTGTTAGTTTATTATATTTTCTCATGTTAAGGACACAGAGAGAGACATAGCTTGGGCTCTAGGGCCAAACAAAGAGCCCTGCGTAAATCAGGTAGTCAGTTTCCACTAACGCAGTGAGTGCCATGAACACAGTTCTAGAGAGCCAGTGGCAGCCCCACCAGCCTGGGTGTTTTGGGAAGATCACCCAGTGGGACTAGATGAGCCACTGTCATGAGGGTGGGATGGTAAGTAAGGCAATTACTACTACCCTTTGCAGAGAGAAGAGGGAGCTGATAACCACTGCCCTCAGGAGAGCTAGTAGAAAACAAGGAAACTGCTTCCAAAGGTGGGCTCTGGGTAACTAGAACCAGGATAAGAAAATGTTTTAAACTCACTTTCTGAATGCGATGCCCTTTTGATACGCAGATTATAGGGGGTTATAGAGCCACTGCTCTTGGCTATGGAAATGACTACTGTCTCTTGGGCAAGAAGCCTTCCTGTCACCTGCAGCCTGAATCACCAGTCTCTTGTGTGTATTCCCATAGCACCCACACATATCTCCCCCGGAGCCCTTAGCGGTCGCCTGACCACCTGTCTTCAGAGCTAAGTCAGTGCTTGTAACTCAACCAGTCTCCATGACTTGGAGCACCAAGTTCCCACCCCTTTGAGAGGAGTGAATTCTTATCCTTCTCAATGGGGTGAAAATGGCATCTCTGTCCCATAGACTAGCAGAGCCATGGTTAAAGATTCAGTGTAATGGTAATAATCATAATGGTAACAAGAGTATCATTTGTCACTAATTTAGTATTTTGGGACTTACAACGTCTAGCACACAGTTTGGCATTTTAGTTTCTCAGCCATATTTGAGGAGGTTAATAAGAATTTGAGTCCTTTTCACAGGTGGGGAATTTGAGAGTGGGTGGTGAAGTGACTTAGCCAGTATCACTAGCATTAAATGAAGGCCTAAGATCTAAAACCCAAGTCCTGTGAGCACAGGCACCCAAGTCCTGTGAGCAAAGGCCTTCCAGATTGAATAACTGCTGTTTTTGTGAAAACCCAGCTCTGTTGAGCCTCTCCAATGCCTGCTGTGAACTGACAGGGTGTGGGAGCATTTACCACAGACCTCACACCGGTAGCAGTGAACATGGAAATCACGATCCAGAGCCACAATCCGGACAGTCTCCTCCTGGCCTGGGGCTGGCATGATAGGCTCCTTGCACACAGAACATCGGGGAGCAAATTTCCTGAAAATGGAGAATACGGTACTGGTTAGACATTGAGTATTTACACTGACAAATGGGTGCGACCCAGAAGTGAGAAGAAGAGGAGCCAGCCGAGGGTCAAGACAACTGCTCTGTCATCTTGTGTGACCCTGAGCAAGTTCCTTTCCTTCTCTGGGTCTGCTTCCTCCGGTGTAAAATAAGGGATATAGACTGGGTGACTGTTGAGGTCCTTCTAGACCATAAATACTGTGATATTTGGGGAGGTGGGGAGTTAGTGTGTGTACCCCTTATGCATGAAGAACATCTAGGTGCTATTGGCCACTTGGTAGGTGCCATGGAATTCACTTGTGGATAGATTCAAAACACAAAACCTGGGCTCGGGCAGGGTCCTGGGGCCCTTACTTGTTTCTTTTGCTTGATTTTGTCTTGTTTGGTTTCGGCTCTTAGACTCTGCTTTTTGGCTCCTAGAGCGCTTCCAGGCCCTACACAAATATTCTGAGGTTGGTGACTGTGTCATTCCCACTTATTAGATCCTCTTTCTCTGAAACTGAGCTCTAGGAATTAACATGAGAAATCTCAACCCCTTATCTTTTTAAAACAGCAGAGGTCAGAGAGTTTAAATATGCCAAACTTTACACCAAACTTGCTATGACCACGTCTGGACTTCCTACGTTTTGGTTGTGTGAAACTCTGGTTTGAAAAAAAAAAAAAAGTTCAAAAGCTGCCAAGTTCTTTATTTTTTAGAGGGTTTTAGCACTTTTAAAAGGTATGAGCATTTACACGTGTAGATATACATATATGTGTGCTTTTGAGGTTAACTGTTGGTGAGGAATTTTAATATTTCCTCATCTCTCAGTATTCTTTAATATGACCAACGGCCCTAAAATTTGTTTCTCATAACAGATTAAGAGGCCGCAAATACAGGCTGTGCATTCATCTGCATCTCCTGGAAATTAGGGGTGGCATTTGGGAAGGTGTGAAATGAGACATGATTTGAAATGGCCAGGGATAAAAACTGAAAGGATGGGGGGAAAAACAGGAGAAACAGACTCTGGAAGTCAGTTTTTTTCATGATAATGGTTTTGAGATTAATGACGTTAAAATTTATCTATTTGTAGTGAGACTTAAAAAGAAATAATGATAGTAATCTAATACTTTGCAGAGCACTTTATGGTTGTCAAAGCATTTTTACATACATTATACTCTATATGTACATATTAATTTTCTTGGCAGCACCCAAAAGGCATCTGTGTGGCTGCAATCTAAATAAATATGAATTAAGCAGCAGATCAATTGATTGCTATGAAAGAAAAATTAAAAGGATCATGGTACAACTGCAGCAGTAATCAGAGTTGTTATAATTGGCATTTTATGCGAGAAGTTTACACTCAGTGGTAAAAAAAAAAAAAAACTGCTTTGGACTACCTGATTATTTTTGAATCTGGGTCATCAGTAGTGAAATAAGCAGGCTTCTGGAATCCAGTGCAGAATTTCCTTTCCCCAAGCCTATCAGGACTGCAAACTCAAAAGTATGTCTTGCCTATCATTGAACTGTGAGCCTGCTCCTCTTTCCTCACGTAAAATTACTTATTTCTTTAGGATAAAATATCTCTCACTGAATTTTAGTAGTAATGATTCGCACACCTTTGGGGACCACTAAACTGTGAGCTTCCAGCTGGCAGGTTTTGCTCAACCTCTGAATCTCCAGAAACCAACTCCTGTGACCAGGGCAGACAGCAGAATTTCAGGCTATCTCTAATGAAATGAACTGTCTGCCATTTTGCTCTATAAAAAGATGTGAGTTGGACCTTCCTTTATGTTCAATCTCAAGGTCTTTCCTCTTTGGAGAGGCATAACTTGTATTCTTGCTGAGTAATGATTGCTTCCTACCCATTGGCCTCATTTCCATGATGGGGAAAAAACAATGTGAAGAGACAGGAAGTGGTTTCCACAGTCCCCACAGTGTTCCTTGGCCGGCATTTTGAAGACTGTTCTAAATCCCAGGTGGTCTGTTTCAAGGCTCAGCTCACTAAGCAGACAATAATAATAATAATATAATAATAAAAATAAATCTGATAAAAAAAACCCTTTTGATGGTTCAAATGGCTACCATATATTGTGTGCTTATTATATGCCAAGGCTTGTTAAGCACTCTGTGCACTTGACCTCATTTTTTACTGACAGCAACATTATGAAGAAATAGTTTTTATCATTTCTGCTTCACAGCCATGGGAGCCAAGGCTCCGAGAGGGCCGGTCTTAATCATCTTTGTCCTGGCACATTTCTGGCAATCAACAAATGGGTGCTGATTAAACAAATGAGTGGACGAGTGTAATGTCTCTGATAAGAAAGCACAGATAGTGAAATAAAGGCTCAAATGCAATGAAAGGGTCAGCTAAATAAGCCAGCTTTTCTGAGCTCACTGTCCTGGCAGTGGGAATATAGAAATAAACTAGGACTCCAGCAATCAGACTGGTGAGGAAGTTCTATATATTTCTGCAACTGTTCTATTAGTTGAGATATACACATCCTGTCATATTGCAGAAACGACCTAAGGTTGTAAGGGTAAAAGTGTGTGTGTTCTTTATGATTAATCAGGCTATGCTTAAGTACTAGGCATACCTGATTTACAAAACTCTGCAGAATATAGAGAAAGATATAAATTCAAACAGGGGGATAGGGAGGGGCTGCAGTCAGGGAAGCATTCTCCAAGGAGGTGGTAAATGAGTTGGCATTTGAAAGATGGCCATTTAGGTGAAATTTGAAAGTGTGTGTGTGTGTGTGTGTGTGTGTGTGTGTGTGTTGATGAGAGATACACTTTGCCAGGGAACTAGTTTGAGCAGTCATCTGAAATAACATATGGGAAAAGAGTTGCTACCTAATAGGATGGAGGACTTGGGCCAACCTTGTCTGAAGGTGGTTATACAGGGGGTGGCCCATTTACAAGGCCTTTTTTTTTTTTTTTTTACAAGGCCTTAAAAATAGTATTTGGGAAGCTTATTACTCAAAGTGCAGTCTAAGACCACCAGAGAACTCGTCAGAAATGCAGAACTGTAGGTCCTACACCCCAGACCTACTGAATTAGAATTTGCAGTTTAACAAGATCCCTAGGTGACTTGTAAGCACATTAACATTTGGGAAGCGCTGGTTTAGAAGACAGGATGCTAAGCAGGCGAGATGAATCCCTTCTCATGGGCCTTCTGTATCTCACAGCAACTTCCACTCCCAGGCTGCTCCAGTTACAGCCAAGCAAATCTTCCTGGAATGGAGAGAAGCCCTTCCTCACTTCGTGGCCTTCTTTATTTCCTGAGTTGTTCCTGCTGTCAGGAATCTCCGTTTCTCACTTAAAATACTCTTCAAATTCTGCTTCCAGAAGCCTACCCAGATCTCAGGGCCAAGTAATCTCTTTTGACTCTGACAGCTCGAGCCTTTGCCTGTGCCTGTCTCATCGTGTCTGGCCCCTTCTGCCTGGTATCACACATGCTCTGCGCTTGTCCCCCCCTCCTCCTGGCAAGCTCCTTGCTGACAGGGGCTTTTCTCTGTGTGTCTGTGCATTTTCTACCCATGCAATTTCTCTCCTTGTATCTCTCTCCCTTAGCACTGGGCACACGGAGGGCTCTTGGTAGATGTGGTTGAATTGGAATGGAAAGATATTTCCTAAAAGCTCAGAGGGAGACCAAGAACAAGCGCCCCCCAACAGTCTGCAGAAGGAGGCCATATCCCCCTATGCACCCGCTCCTTAGCCTTGCAATGCCCACTCTGGGTGGGGCTTTTAGCTGCTTTGTGTTCTGGTACGTTCGAGGCTCAGACACAGAGTTCTGTAGAATTTCTTATTTTCCTTTGGGAAATGGTGAAAAGATAAAAAAGCTTCCCCTCTTACATACCTGCCAATCAAGCAGACATTATTTTTAAAAAATAATTTGTGTTTTCACATGCCATTGATTGGTGGTGGGGGTGGGGTGGAGCTGGGGGTTGGAGACAGTTTTTCCCCTTTAGGGGCTAATAAGCCTGCTTGTCTGGAGTGTTGAGACCCCCACACTTTCGTCACCAGTCCCAAGTCTCTAATTATGCTCCTCACTCTTAGAAATGAAAGATAAATGGCATAGATATAAACTTCCATTTGTCAGAATTGATTTCCTGTTTTAATTGGTTGGGGGGGGGGTGTCATAGATCAGTCTTTTCCAGCAACAGAATCACGTGTGCTCTGATTACATCTAGCAGTCTTTCTTGGATTAGGGTACGTCTAAGAAAGGAGAGAAACAGCCACAGAAACACACTCCCCATCGGTATCTTTTCACTTCCCTTAAATAGATGCAGGTTTTTTTTTTTTCATGTGTAATTACAAGCTAAAAATATCAACAACGTGAAGTACAATTTATGCTGTGACTGCCCTTTCAAAGTGAGCCCTTACTTGTCTAATTCAGGTTGAGAATTCCTGCCTCTGGGGTTTTTTTAATTCATTCAGCCTCACGTCTTTCAGTGAGATTTTCACTTTCTTTGCTACTTGGAAAGTGGTCAGGAAATTCACTTTTAAAATAGAGGAGTCTCAGGTCCCCAGACTGCTTGTGGTAAGTTCCTCCTGATTGTTGACAATCAACAGAGCGGTGAAAATTAACCCACAAGACTGGAGGCCATAGAATGGAGACCCAAACCGATGAGCCTCATGAGCTTTATTCCTGTGAGAGCTTTGGACTGTCCTTAAAGACTCAGACTGCCCAGCAAGCAAGCCAGGAAGCCTCCATGTCTACCACTTACCGATCACCTCTAGGGTTTTCATATGGTTCCTAAATATATGTAACAAATGTCATCAACCCATCAGCCAACTAACAAAGGGGCCAAATCAAAAGAAGCAAAACACAAAACTATGTGAACTTCATGAAAATCCCACAGCTGTAATAGAGGAAAGAGGACCCGATGAATGAGAAAACTGAATAAGGCACATTTTTCCAGGCCCATGAGTAAGTGGTCTTGACCTGGAGACTCTACTTTCCAATCTTCCTCAAAAGACTTGCACATCACTGCATTCGTTAATTTTATTAGCAAGTGTCCTGAGCACAAGAAGGCCTGGGTAGGCAAACAGGTCATGAGAGGATGTGAATATGTTGCTAATGACATGAAACTGCCCCCAGAATGTGAGAGGCTTGTACTTGGAAGAGGAAGTGAATTGTTCTGTGCCCATGTCCATCTCCCTGTGACCTCCTTGCTATAGACTGGCAAAGATTTAGAGGTCAGCTCTATGGCTGTGACACCTCGGGAGCTTTAAAACAGGCTCTGTTCTAATGACCAGACTGAAAAGCTCAGAGGCACTGAGCAGTTTGTCCACTATAACACATCTTGTTCATGTTGAGGCCAGGGAGGGCTAACCCAGGATCCTTCCTCTTTCCAATGCACATACTCTGCAGCTGAGTCAACTTTCTCAGAACCAGAGCCACATGAAGATGTGATGGATCATCTCCAGGGGAGCCTTCAAGCAGAAGCCAGGCTGGAGGACTGGTTGGATTAAGTGATACCCATTCCCACATTAGAAGAGGGGGATAAGCAAGCTCTTTATACGGTCTCACCAAATCCTGAGATCCTACGGCTCTGAGAAAGAAAAATGTGTGGCCCAGATATCAGGTAGTAAGAACAGACTCCCAAGGGGACTGGCAGGCCGGAAGGGACAGAATAGACTGCCTACTTGTGGAAGTCCTCAATGCAATGAATGAGGCCACCAGCATCCACGGTGAACGGGATCCCATCAAGGCTGCGGTGGCACATCACACAGGTAAAGCAGTGAGGATGATAGGCCTTCCCGGTGGCTCGCAGAATCCGCTCCATGATGGGCTTAGAGCACACACTGCACTGCTCCAGGGTATTCTGAGGAGGGAAAGAAAAATGCCAGCGTCAAGATGGATCTTGCAGAAGCTCCATGTATTTAGTCCCTTACAGCATGACAAGCACCATTACAGACACATTGGCTTATGTGCCTATCACAGTGCTTGGAAGAAGGCAGAGAACATATTAAGGAAACACATAAGATGGATCAAGTGTCTTCTCTAAATTCACCCAGGTGGTAGGTGGCAAATCTAGAACACATGTCTTCTGACTTCTCTCTCTCTTCTACCACTGTTAGAAGGCTCAATGGCAAACATTTTTGTTAAGGCAAATATAGTAGCTATTTCTGGTTTTGTTGCAGCGATTTGGTTCTGCTGTCATAGTGGGAAGGCAGTTGTAAACAGCACACATGTAAACGGGCTGTGTTCCAAGAAAACTTTGTTGACAAAAGCAGGCTGGATTGAGCTCACAGCCGTAGTTTTTTGACCTCTGAACTACATTAACCCAGGTTCTCCCCTGGAAGAACACTTCACTTTTCTAAAACTTGACTAGACATCAAAAACCTGATGGGGTCACCAAGGACCTTAAGATTTTAGAGTGGTCTGCCTGACAATGGAGACTCACAGAGGGTGCCAGGTGTAGAATCCAATCAGAGCTCAACATAATCAAGGAGGCTTTTGATGATTTAAAGCCTTGAATTGAATACCAACCCCAAGTGTGGTACGATGAGCTCTTGATGGAAATGGTGAACCCAGAAGGGTTGCCGTTTTGGGAAGTGAATTAAGAAAGTCAATTTCTCTGGCTTTAAAAATGTGCTGAAATTAAAAACAACAACAACAATAAACCAAAGCCCTCCCCAAAAGGGAAACTATATATTGAGTCAGGATTCAGGAAGATTGTTAAAATTAGCCATTAATTTCCATCCTGCCCCAGAATCCCATGCTGTCTTCCCAAACAACCATGTTTCACATGTAATATGCTATATTCCAAATGAGATGTCTAGACCGATTCAGTTTGCAATCTAGAATAAACCCAGGATGGGGATTTGATTAGAAAGATACAGGACTGGAATTGCCCTCTTACCATGAAAACTTTTAAATGGCCATGATGCAAGTAATGCCTATTGGTAGATAACTAGTGTGCTGACGTCTCAACCATAGCGAGAGTCTCCGAATCGCTTCCTTGTTTGCATCTCTCCTCCTAACACTTCTCTATTCCCAAAGTGACTTCTGGTTTCCTTTCCAAAGCACAGATGGGACCAAGTAACTTTGCTGTTAGCAAAAACTTCTACGGCTCTACAATGTGAAAAGAGTTAGTTCCTTGCCTGACATTTCAACCTCCCTTTCTAGGGTAAGATTTCCCTAATGTCTCAGACTGCTCACTCTTATTCAAACCTTTAAGAAACTTCCGCACTTCTGTGCACTGGCTAATACCTAGTATGAACCACAATTTGTCATTTTGACCTTTCAAGGTACAGGCCAAAAGGCAACTCTCCAGTGAAGCCTTCCTCAAGGCTTTCAGTTGGAATCATTGCTTCTTTCTCCACCCTTCCCAAGCACCCCATTAACATTGCTTATAGCACTTACAGTGTTCATTCTATTAACATTTTTTACACATTTGTCTATTTCTTCTACTAGACTAATTTCTTTAAGGGAAGGGGCCATGTCTTTCTTTTTTAATTTTTAAATTTTAATTCCAGTGCAGTTAACATACAGTGTTACGGTAGTTTCAGGTGCACAATACAGTGATTCAATGATTCTATGCATCACACAGTGCTCATCCTGAAAAGTGTACTAACCTATTTCACCTATCCCCCCCCATTCATCTCTCCTCTGGTAACCAACAGTTTATTCTCTTTAATTAAGAGTCTGTTTCTTCATTTCTTGCTAACTCTTTTTCCCCTTTGTTGGTTTGTTTTGTTTCTTAAATCCTACATATGAGTGAAATCATATGGTATTTGGCTTTCTTTAACTGCCTTATTTTGTTTGGCATTTTAATCTCTAGCTTCATCCATGTTGTTACAAATGGCAAGATTTGGGGGTATAGCTCAGGGGTAGAGCATTTGACTGCACAAATGGCAAGATTTCATTATTTTTTGTGGCTGAGTAATATTCCATTATCTATCTATCTATCTATCTATCTATCTATCTATCTATCTATCTATCTATCATCATCATCTCACACTGTCTTTATCCATTGATAGATGTTTGGGGGTGCTTCCATAATTTGGCTGTTGGAAATAATGCAGCAATGAACCTAGGGGCCCATGTATCCTTTCAAATCAGTGTCTTTGTATTTTTGGGGTAAAAACTCAGTAGTGTGATACTGAATCTTAGGATAGTGTTATTTTTAACTTTTTGAGGAACCTCCCTACTGTTTTCCATAGTGGCTGCACCATTTGCATCCCTACCAATAATGCACAAGAGTTCCTTTTTCTCCACCTCTTTACCTTTCTTGTGTTTTGATTTTAGCCATTCTAACAGTAGTTTGGATTTACATTTTCCTGACAATAAGTGATACTGACCATCTTTTATGTCAGCCATCTGGATGTATTCTTTAGATCAATATCTGTTCATGCCTTCTGCCCATTTTTAAATTGGATTATGACGTGTGTGTGTGTGTGTTGAGTTGTATACATTCTTTATATACTCTAGATACTATCCCATTATTGGATATGTCATTTGCAAATATCTTCTCATATTTAGTAGGTCGTCTTTTAGTTTTGTCAATTGTTTCCTTCACTGTGCAATAGCTTTTTATTTTGATGTAGTAGTCAGTGGTTTATTTCTGCTTTTATTTTCCTTGCCTCGGGAGATATATCTAAAAAAGCATTGCTATGGCCAATGTCAGAGAAATTACTGTCTGTGCTCCCCTCTAGGATTTTTATGGTTTCAGATCTCACATTTAGTTTAATCCATTTTGAGCTTATTTTTGTGTGTGGTGTAAGAAAGTCATCCGGTTTCATTCTTTTGCACGTAGCTGTTCAGTTTTCCCAATACCATTTATTTGAAGAGACTTTTTCCCATTGCATATTCTTGCCTTTTTATCAAAAATTAATTGACTGTGTAATTGTGGCTTTGTTTTTGGACATTCTATCCTGTTTCATTGATCTGTGTGTCTATTTATGTGCCAGTACCATACTGCTTGGATTACTACAGCTTTGCAGTATAACCTGAAATCTGGAACTCTGATACCTTCAACTTTGTTTTTCTTTTTCAAGATTGTTTTGGCTATTAGGCTCTTTTGTGTTTCCATATAAATTTTACGATTTTTGTTCTAGTTCTGTGAAAAATGCTATTGATATTTTGATAGGGATTGCATTAAATCTGTAGATTGCTTTGGATAATATGGACATTTTAATAATATTTGTTCTTTCAATCCATGAGCATAGAATATCTTTCCACTTGTGTTATCTTAAGTGTCTTTCATCAATGTTATATTCTTTTCAGCGTACAGGTTTTTCACCTCCTTGATTAAGTTTATTACTAGGTATTTTATTATCTTTGGTGAAATTGTAAATGGGATTATTTTCTTAATTTCTCTTTCCTTTGTTTCATTATTAGCATATAGAAATGCAATGGATTTCTGCATATTGATTTTGTCACCTGTTGCCTTAAGGAATTTGTTTATAAGTTCCAGTAGTTTTTGGTGGAGTCTTTAGGGTTTTCTATATGCAGTATTATCATGTCATCTGCAAGTAATCAAAGTTTTACTTCTTCCTTACCAATTTGGATGCCTTTTCTTTTTCTTTTCTGAGTGTTATGGTTATGACTTCTAGTACTATGTTGAATAAAAGTGGTGAGACTGGATAATCTTGTCTCATTCCTGATCTTAGGGGAAAAACTCTCAGTTTTTTTTACCATTGACTATGATGCTAACTGTGGATTTTTCATATGTGGTCTTTATAATGTTGATGTATGTTCCTTCTAAGCCTATTTTGTTGGTTTTTACCATAAATGTTGTACTTTGTCAAATGCTTTTTCTGCACCTATCAAAATGGTTGTATGGTTTTAAACCTTTCTCTCATTGATGTGATGTATCGTGTTGATTGATTTGTGAATACTGGACCACTCTTGAGACCTAGGAATAAATTCCACTTGATCTTGGTGAATGATTTTTTTTCATGTATTGTTGGATTTGGTTTGCTAATATTTTGTTGAGGATTTTTACATCTGTGTTCATCAGTGATACTGGTCTGTAGTTTCCTTTTTTTGTGTGGTATCTTAAAATGGTTTTGGTATCAATGTAATGCAGGCCTTGGGGACCATGTCTTAAGAATGTATTTTGCTGTCTCATACCTAGAATAAAACTAAGTCTAGGATGAATGTGTGCAAAAAGAATGAATGAAGGAGTACTGTTTACATCATACCCGGGAATTGCTGGACTGGTCTGACTCTTCTGACTCTGGAATCCATACCAAAATGAATTGGTAAATTCATCACCATCCTCTCCTCAAAGCTGTGGTTGCTGGAGGTTCTGAAATTGCTTAGTACGCCTCTGGTCACAGTCTAAACTCATGGAAACTATTAACCTATTTTCCCCCCATTTTGAAGTGGTGAAATTAAAATAGCAGAAGAACATAAGATGAAAGTTTGGAGAAAATGATGCTCTGGACAATGAGGGCCCTGCTTTTTTTCTATCCTGGTGATCTGAGCTGATGTGGCTGCAAACTGTCTTCCCAGGGCTTGTGTTTTGCTCTTCTGTGGGTTTTAACTTTTTTTTTTTTTTTTTTTTTAAAGGCAGCCCTGTAATGGAGTTGAACAAACCAGAAAATGCTTGACCAGAGAATGTTTTTGTTTGCACTGAGGCTTGGCTACAAGTTTTAGTCCATTTACTCAAAACCAGCAGCAGCATAAGGTTGAGTCAGTTTCTAAGGAAAGACTTTATGGTCTGTGGAAGCACTGTTTAAAGGACAGGTAATCTGAACATTTATGCTACAAAGGAAAAAACAGTGTAAAATATGCCTAAAGTGAGACTACTATAAAATGCCCGCAAATCAGAAAATAAAGTGTCTATGAATACAGCTGACTGGAAGCTTGGGC